AAAGAGGAGAAAGAGTGATTGTTGGTAATACAATCCCCAGGAATACTTAGTTAAACTGACAATGATTTTTATTCTGGTAAATCCCTTACCTCGGAACCCTGGAGTCTCTTGCCTAAAAGCCTCAGGGTTTTTCTTTGTGTTGGTGTGGGTGAGCATGTAGAGACCTAATTCCCTGCAGAAGCTGAACCCTCAGGGCAGCTCTGCCAGGTCAGAGCAACGTGATTTCCCCTCCAAGGCCCTTTCTGAGTCAGACATGTGCTGCAGGGCTTTAGTCACTCTAAGAGTTGACACAAGCAAAAGGTACCTCTGTTTGTTCCCCAAAGAATAGATCAAGTGGTGAATCAGCCAGAGACACCATCAGCTCCCTAATTAAGTCTTTGTTAGCTCTCTGTAAGCTTGAGCCACTCTGGTGGAACCTGGTGCTTCATTTCTAGGAAGAATTTCTTTCCTAGGCCTGCAGAGAAAGGTTTTATTTGTCAGAAGAGGAAATTGCACACATGAGGAACTGTTTGTTGGAGATCCAATTGATTTGGGGTTATTTTAGCAGCTGTATGTTTTGTTCACAGAGAAATGGGAAATATTTGGGTAGAGAGTGAAAGAGAGAAATTTAGATGAGGTATTAGGCAGAAGTTTTTGTGGTGAGGATGGTGAGACACTGGCCCATGTTGCCCAGGGAGGCTGTGGCTGCCCCAACCCTGGCAGTGTTTCATTCCAGGTTGGATGAGCCTTGAGCAACCTGCTCTGGTGGGAGGTGTCCCTGCCCAGGGCAGGGATTGGGGCTGGATCATCTCTAAGCTCCATTCCAACCTTGAAAATTCTCTCATTCTATTACTCTATGAAATGCCTGTGTAGTTCTGGTGGCAGAGAAAATGTGCCTCACCTTGTTGCTAAAGGTCAACTATCCTCCCCAGCTTGTCCAGGCTGGTTGTCCAAGCCCAGGAGCTGGGATTCTCCTCCCAGAGGAGCACAAGGAGACTCTGCAGTGGACATCCCTGAGGTGTGCAGAGCAGTGCATGACACATCCATGCATTGCTTGTAGGATTTGCCTCAGTCCCATGCCAATGGGGAGTGAAAAATGAGGAGGCCTCTTGGGGATTAAGATGAAGCTTGTGTTATTTATTATACTAGTTAGACATATAAACCATCTGCCTCTCTCCAGGTTCTATTGTCCTATTTGTCTCAATGACACTTTCTGCTGTGCTCTACACTCATCTGACTTCTATTCCCAGCTTAACAAATGGCCCTGGGTGAAAGGCAGCACAGAAAATGACTAGGCTGTGTCTCAAGCATGCACTAAAGCAGTTGAGAGTGTGATGCAGAGAAGAAGAAACTCAGTGAAGACAAACCAGGGAGTCTCCATCGCCATATTCATAAGATAGGGCAAGATATCCCTCCTGGCAGGGAGTGCTAGTAGCAGGGAGGACAGGGAGAATTCAGGCTGAAAATGTTTGGGCTGCTCAGCCTGGAGAGGAAAAGGTTGTGTGGAGACCTCAGAGCAACCTGCAGGAGCTGAAGGGGCTCCAGGGAAGCTGCAGAGGGACTCTTGGGTAGGAGCTGCAGGGACAGGACAAGGAGTCATGGGGATAAATTGAAAGAGGATAAGTTAGATTAGATGTCAGGAAGAAGTTTTCCCTGTGAGGGTGGTGAGACACTGGCCCAGGTTGCCCAGGGAGGCTGTGGCTGCCCCAGCCCAGTTTTCCATCCCACTTTCTGGGCCTGATCCACAGATATTGCTTTGTCTTCAGCAGAGTACCAAAATTCTCCCTCCTTCCCACTTGGTATCTCATGTTCTTCTTTCCTTCCTTCTCCCCACAGGGAACCCTCCAGAAATTCGTAGATGACCTCTTTGAGACCATCTTTAGCACTGCTCACCGTGGCAGTGCCCTGCCCCTGGCCATCAAATACATGTTTGATTTCCTGGATGAACAGGCTGACAAACACAACATCCACGACCCCCACGTGCGGCACACCTGGAAGAGCAACTGGTGAGTGAGACACCCCAGTAGAGTCCAGCACCATGTACTGGACTGGGAGGAGAGTAGAGGGACATTGGTTTGGGATCTGGCTGCTGGGGGAGCTGAGGACCTTGGTGTGGGGCTCAGAGCACCAATCTTGCCAAGCTGATGAGGTCAGAAGCTCCCAGAACCTAAAGCATGCGCTTAAGGATGGAGCACTTGGTTAAACTGGTCCCAGATTGCCTTGTATTATATGGGACTAGCAGCATTTTGGAGGGGTTTCCTGGGGAAAATTTAAAGTGTTTAACTGCTGCCCATAGGAACATCTAGGGAGGAATGGGAGAAGACTCAGCACCACTGGCTTCACCTAGACAGGGTGTTTGCATTCCCACTCTAGTCAGAGTGGGGCTAGAGATCCATTTGTTTGCATGCTCAGAGACATCTTGTGCCAGCTGAGATATTGTAAGGAATCCCAGACACCCACAGGAGACTTGGACCCTCCTGGGTGACAGTTGGAGGCCAGGAGAGCATCTCAAATGGTACTGAGCATTTAAAGGGGGTGGAGCTGGACGTGAGTCTGCTCTGGAGTCAGTGCCAAAGTGTGACATCAGTGCCAAAGTGTGACATCAGCCTCCTCCTGTAGTTTGCCAGGGGAGGGGAACAGAAACAAGTGTAAGGGGACAACACAGACTAGGCAGTATTGGTAGAGAAAAACCTTCTCTGTGCTGAGTCTCCCTGTTGGAAAGAGCTCCCTGGGGAATGGCTCCCTCCCCTTCTCCTGTGCAAATAGAGGGACTATAAAAGGAACAGCAGAGGAGAGCCATGGGGCTCCCAGCTCATGCATTTTCTCCTTTTAGCAGCCCTGCTGATGGCAGATCGTCACAGCACAGTGACAGAAAAAAACAAGAACCCCCCCCTGCACCAAAGAGGCTTTCAACTAATGAAACATTAGCATATTATTAACATTATCTGCGGCACTAATCTAGGGCTGATTGCAGACACTCAGCCTAAATGAGCAGGAGGTTTATTTAAGGGGGTTGGGGGAGGAGAAGCAGAGAGTGTGTGTGGATGTAGGAAAAGGGGCAGGATGAAGAAATCTGTTCCATCAGATGAAATGAACTCAAAGTCACATCAGGGGTTCATTATTCCCAGGTAGGGACATTGTCCCCCAGCCCCTCCCTGCCCCAGGCACCCAGAGGTGCTCTCTGCCTCTCCTCACTGTGGCTCTCAGCCAAACACCTGCACAAGGACTTCTGTGTGCTTCACTCAGCCACCTCATCCTCCAGCTGGTGGTTCTCCAGCAGCAGCAAAAAATGTTTCCCCTCACAACTCCATCAGGTCTCACTGAAATTCCTTACTTATTCCTGGCTGAGGGTGCTGAGACACTGGCACAGGTTGTCCAGAGCAGCTGTGGCTGCTCCATCCCTGGGAGTGTTCCAGGCCAGGTTGGATGGGGCTTGGAGCAGCCTGGACTAGTAGGAGGTTGTCTGTGCCCATGTAGGGGTTGGAACTAGATGATCTTGAAGGTTCTTTCCAACTCAAACCATTCTGTGATTCTATGATTTCCACCATCTCCCACTTCTGAACTTGGCTGATTGGATTTACCTGTGTGGGGCTTTCCTTACATTTGGTCTGTGATTTTGTGGCTCAGGAGAACACACAGTGGGGTAGGAAAATGTGGTGTCATCCCTCTGTCAGGACATGCTAAACTGCTTTTTGTTACCCAAAACATATCAGATTTGGAGATGAATTTTTTGCAGTGGTGTGAACACATGAGGGTAATGAGCAAATGGAAGGAACTGAGGAGTTTAGGCTGAATATCAGGAGACTGTTGAGCTGAAAAATATTCTCCTCTTGGGAAGGTGCAGAGAGTGAAGGTAGAGTGAACCCTGTACCTGACAGAGAGACAAGAGCTTGGCTCTGTGATCACTGCCACATCTCAGCTCCTAGGCCACCATCACTTGGATGCAGTTGCCCTGACAGAAAGGCTTGAGGCAAAGGCTGGAGGTAGATACCTCAGGGCATCTCATCCCCCCTTTGAGAAAAACTGGGGGGAGAAAAAGGGCTTTGGGTTGCAATTGGAATAACATTTCCTTGGTTAGGGCAGATATATTTTCATTTCAAAGGCTGCAAGACTTGTTTCCCAGATCCTTTTTCTTCCTTGATGCAAGAGAGTTTTCCCTGTCACGTAATGATTGCTTCATGCCCAGTGTGCTGGGATCATGTGCAGGCTTGGGCTGGAGCAGTGGAGTGTGACAGCACATGGTGTTAACAGCACACAGAGCATTCCCTGAGCATTCCCAGTCTCAGCCAGGGAGCTCTGCCTGCCTCTCTTCCCATGGGATTGGTAGGAGGGCTAAAAGCCAAGTCCCTCAATGATAAATGTTTAGAATCACAGGATGGTTTGGGTTGGAAGAATCTTAAAGTTCATCTCATTCCACCCGTGCCCTGGGCAGGGACACCTCCCACCAGCCCAGGCTGCTCCAACCCCATCCAACCTGGCCTGGAACACTCCCAGGGATGGAGCAGCCACAGCTGCTCTGGGCAACCTGTTCTAGTACCTTATAACCCTTATCATAAGTTCTGTGGAGGCAATGCCAATCCTCATCTGATGCAGCAGCCAACAGGGGCAACTTTACACTGCAACCTAACCTAGAGAAGTTCGAAGTCTTTGTTGTCACCTCAGTTACACTCTATTAATTTATGTGCCACTTCGGTAAGATTGTATTGACTTTAAGACTGACAACATCTGTCTTGTGAGGATAACAGGGACTAAAGCCACTCCTGAGGTGACCCCACTGCTCATGTAGGGAAGGAGTTTGTTGTATATCAAAGCTTATCCTGAAGTCCTCATCTCCACACCATGATCTGACATTTCCATTCATCATTTAACTTTTACCACATTTACTACAACTTCCTCCCAAGGAGCAGTGGAGGGACAGGCACTGAGCTCTGCCCTCTGGGACCAGTGACAGGACCCAAATGAATGGCACAAACTTGTGTCAGGGGAGGGTTATGTCAGATATTAGAAAAAGGTTCTTCCCCCAGAGGTGTTTGGGCACTGAACAGCTCCCAGGGCAGTGGGCACAGCCCCAAGGCTGACAGAGCTCAGGGAGTGTTTGGCCAATGCTCTCAGGCACAGGGTGGAGTGTTGGGGTGTCTGTGCAGGGACAGGAGTTGGACTGATCATCCTTGTGGGTCCCTTCCAGCTCAGATATTCTATGACTGGATTGTCACACAATCTCACATAATTTAGATTAGATATCAGGAAGAAGTTTTTGCTGTGAGGGTGGTGAGACACTGGCCCAGGTTGCCCAGGGAGGCTGTGGCTGCCCCAACCCTGGCAGTGTTTCATTCCAGATTGGATGAGCCCTGAGCAACCTGCTCTGGTGGGAGGTGTCCCTGCCCAGTGGATGATCTCTAAGCTCCATTCCAACCCTTAACGCTCTGTGGAGCAGTTATAGAACTATAGCCATGGAACAAGAAATGCTGTGAGCTGTGCACTGACTGGGTCACTCTCCCCTCTCTTTCAGCCTCCCCTTACGGTTCTGGGTGAACATGATCAAGAACCCACAGTTTGTCTTCGACATCCACAAAAACAGCATCACAGACGCCTGTCTGTCCGTGGTGGCACAGACCTTCATGGACTCCTGTTCCACCTCTGAGCACAGGCTGGGCAAGGACTCCCCCTCCAACAAGCTTCTCTATGCCAAGGACATCCCCAGCTACAAGAACTGGGTGGAAAGGTGAGTTTTAGCTCCAGAGAATGACATCAGCAGTGAAGCAATGAGGCCTTGTCTCGTGGATGGAGGTAGGAGGAGTAGTATTGCTGCCTCTGAGCTTTTTCCCTTTGGGTTTTGCTTAGGAGAAAGCTCCATGCTAGTCTTTTATTCTCATGTGTCTTAGAGCAGAGATGGAGGTTTAATTAGAGGTGTGAAGTAGAGGTGTTTGTCAGCATGTTTCTCTTGAGGAGAAACTGTTGAGAAGTGGTGGAGGGAGGAAGGAAGGGGAGGGGATGTGTTTGAGCCTGGTGTAGCACACAGGCTTCCAAGGCTTTCCACACAGACCAGAGGTGGTTTGCTGTTCTCAGCAGTTCGTGGCAGTCCCCACTCTGCCTAGATCCCAAGGGTCATCCAGTTGTCTCCCAGTAGCTCTCCTTGGGGGCTCTTCTGTGCTTTGAGTGACGTGCCCAAAAATTGACAGGCTGGTGACTGCAGCTCTGCAATTATTTTCTGAAGGGTCAGAGATCTTTCCAAGTGTTTTATCCACACCTACAACACCCATGGCTGCACTGTTCAGCCTACTGTACTGAAGGTCAGTGTCAGGCAAAGGGAATACAACCCAAACTTCCTGCAGTATGTTGGGCCTTCAGTTTCCAGGGTTTCCCCCAGGAGAAGCAAACAGCAGCTCCTGCACTCCATGCAGAGGGATCTGCTGGGAGAAGCCTTGCAGAAGCTGCTCTGGGCTTTGTTTTGCAATATGCTCCACTCGCCTGGTGTTATTGACAGGTTTGGGAGCTGCACAGATGGAGAATGATTGCTGCTCTGTAAACACAAAGGCAAGTTGATCTTACAGATCATTCCTGCCTGCAGTTTGCAGCACTGGTTGCTCTGGAAGACTTCACAGGCTCTGCCTAAAATTGACACCATGTCATGCAGGTCGTACAAGACCTGTGCTGCTACAGGCACAGCACCCAGTGCTGTAAATCCTTGTGTTCCCTTTGGTCAGGATGGTTTCCTCTCCTTTGGTGGCTGATCAAAGAGCTCTGGAGGTGACATTTTTTTACACCAATTCTCTCACTGGTCTGGGATTTGTCTGGACAATTATTTTTAGATGTGGTTGAACACTTGAGCAAATGTTGTTTCTAGGCAACCTGTAAGACTCTTTCAAGCTACCTTGCTTAATTATGACCTACTTCTGCTCCCCTGTCCAAGTTTCTTACTATGTATTGAGGCTGATTGCTGGATTGACCTGGATAATAGGAAGGAATTGTCTGAAATTCAGGTAGAAATCAAGTTTGTAGCAACAGTGACCCAAAGATGTCACACTACAGTAATGATTTAACAGCCTTGTGTGGGGGTGTTTGCTTTGTGTGGACAAATGATTTGTTGTACACATGACCTGCTTGATTTTTATCCTTGGAGATGTTATATTTGAGTGACAGACTGAGGTTCATAAGTGGAAAATGGGATATTTCCCCATGCAAGACTTCTTTTTCTCTCTGGCTAAACAAAAAGCTGCAGTTTCCATTTTGTTGCTCTAGTCCTGATTTTACTTTACAACTTTGGGGAGCTAAATCCTGGTGCCCAGTGATCTTCAGCAATAGGTGCTGCATTGCCTTGGAAGTTTTCCCAAACAACTGGGTTTGCAAACGAGGTACATCACACCTCCTGCTGCTAGCAACCAGCACTGGATCTCTGTCCCCAGCATGTGTTGGGTTGTTATCTGCACTGATGTCTGACAACTTGAACTGAAGCCCAAGGGGAAGCTGCAGGTTTTGGAATATGGTTAGAGCTTCTTCCCTGCTTATATTTCTGTGTCAGTTCCACTGACTCAAGGCAGTGGCACCTGGATGCTGTGGGAGATGAAAGGCAAAAAAACCACATCAGGGATGAATAAAATATCATTTCAGTTCTACCCTGAGCTAATGAATTCCTTTTCTCCATTCTGCAACTGTACTTTGAGGGACTCCTTCCAAATCCAAAGGCTTCCAGTACTGGCTGGAGCTCTTTCTGCAGTCAGCATCAGCTGGGGATGGCATCCTTCAAGACCACTAGGCTTCTTCAAAGAGCAGATCACGAGATTAAAAGGGTTTGCAGTCAGGGAGTTTATGAAGTGGTTGAGGAAATCAGTAGAACCTGAAGTCAGATGAACTTCTTTGATGATGAAGAAGCTCTAAGAGGGTAATTAGGCAGTGGGAGATTCTAACCCAACTTGAAGGCACTTTGGAGTAAAGAACAGACTCTTGGCTTTTAAGAGTGGTGTGGAAATGGAGCTGAGTGGGTGACTCCAAGCCATCCCTTTGCAACTGCTGGAGAGCTCTAGGGCTCCCAAAACTCAGGGCAGGGAATGACCTTGGAATAAGAAGCAGGAGTGGATGAAAGTACTTTCCTCCAATCCTTCGAACATTCCTTTTCCACCTCCATAGACTGTGAAAGTGTGTTGGGAAGGGAATGGTTCCAGATTCTGCCCTGAACAGGAGCCTAAATCCACACAGGAACCAACTGGGAGTTTCATTCCAACAGATTCCAATAGCAAGAGCATCAGGAATCTTCAGGGGGTGTGTTTGTTTGGTTGGCTCATGGTTTAGGGTAGGATTTTCTCAGATTTTCAGTTGTTTGTGGTGATTCAAGTGGTACATTCAGAATTAGGATTTCTGACAGTTCCTAACTGGAAGATTTTAAACTTGACCAATTTTTTGGCAATTCCACATTTACTTAATGACAAACTCTCTAGGAAATGGAGCTCTTCCATGACATTTGGAGAGGCAGATGGTTTTAGTGCCCATTTCTATAATGATTCGAGATAATGGATTTCCTAACAACAACAACAACTGATTATGCCTCACTTAAGATGCCTCATCTCCTCGAGATGTTGCTGCTCCTTGCAGGGGGCTGGGCTGGATGACCTTTAAAGGTCCCTTCCAACCCAAACCATTCCATGATAGTCCTTTTGGACTCTGCCTGCTGAGACAATCCTGCTGAGAAATCCTCACTCCTGGGGAAAAACAAGTTCACTAGGCAAATTGTGCATGTTATATATATATGTTGAAGCTAGTCCAGAGGAGGCCACAGAGCTGAGCAGAGACTGGAGCACCTTCCCTACGAGGACAGGCTGAGAGAGTTGGGGCTGCTCAGCCTGGAGAAGAGAAGGTTGTGTGGAGAGCTCAGAGCAACCTGCCAGGAGCTGAAGGGGCTCCAAGGAAGCTGCAGAGGGATCTGTGTTAGGAGCTGCAGTGACAGGACAAAGGACAATGGGGAGAAATTGAAAGGGGGAAATTTAGGCTAGATACTAGGAAAAAAGTCTGTGAGGGTGGTGAGACACTGTCCCAGGTTGCCCAGGGAGGCTGTGGCTGCCCCAGCCCTGGCAGTGTTTCATTCCAGGTTGGCTGAGCCTTGAGCAACCTGCTCTGGTGGGAGGTGTCCCTGCCCAGGGCAGGAGTTAGGACTAGATGATCTCTAATGTCCATTCCAGCCCCTAAAATTCTGTGATTGTACACCCAGAGCTGCGAACACATGGCTAAAAAGTCAGAGAGCAGCCACAGATTGGTTCTCCTGCTGCAGGAGATGAGGCCTGGTGAGGCAGGAGAATTAACCCAGGAAATGGGGACAGGCTATTTGGCTTTTGTGGAAGGCCTGAAGAGTCAAGCTGCAGTTCTAAAACAAAGTGGAGGCTTTTCAATTATCATTATATGAGACTCTTGGGGAAAAAAAAAAGAATGGAACGGTGGAGCAGAATCTCATCTGACTTCACTTAGTCAAACTCCATAGGCTTTGCTGAATTTACATTAGAGCAGCTTCAGATCTGCATCTTTTCAAGTTTACTTCAAATGTCCCCTTTGAGCCTGGAAATCTGGAGAACTTGGGAGCATTTGATGCAATTCCCAAGCAATACAAAGGGGAGCCTGTTCTAATTGGGGCTGGCTCATTAGCATTCCACACCACACCGAAGAGATGACAAAGGGCTGTGGTTGACCTTTCATTTCTCTCCATGCTGCCAAGCTTATGATAACACTTGTTTGAACTTCATTAACACCATTTAATTGCCTGCATCACAATCAATATGATGTTTCCCCACCAAAGCCTGGCAGGATGTGGGAGACTGGGAAGGGGCAGAGCACAAAAAGCAGAAGCCAAAGAGCTTTCCCATTTCACACTGCTGCCCAAAATACCTGCAGTGCTGCAAGGAGAGGAACTAGGGCTTTTTTTCTTTTTTTTTTTTTTTGCCTCTTCCCTGCAGGGATTCTGTCTCCTTTTGGCTGCTTATTGTGCATTAAAAATAGCCACTCAAAGGAAAAGTGAAAGTCAATGGAGGCATTGCAAGTGGTCTGAGCAACTTAAGAGTCATCCAATGAAGAGCATTCCAAATAGGGGTTGGGCTAAAAGAAGTGTAAAATGATCTGAGGTTGAAGATTCAGAGTTATAACATCTGTGTTGGGTTAAGCTGGGGGCAAACACTGCCTGGCCTAGCTGGTCCCAGGTCCTGGCTCCACGACCTCAGCTACTTCTCTTCCCTTACACATAGCTCTAGGATGAGGGGGAACTGCTTTGAGCTAAAAAGGAGAGATTTAGGTGAGATGGTAGGAAGAAATTCTTTACTTGGAGGGTAGGAAGGCACTGAAATGGGTTGCCCAGAGCAGCTGTGGCTGCTCCATCCCTGGGAGTGTTCCAGGCCAGGTTGGATGGGGCTTGGAGCAGCCTGAGCTGGTGGAAGCTTTCCCTGCCCAGGGCAGGGGATGGAACTAGAGGCTCTTTGGATGTTGTGGTCTTAAGTTTGTAAGAAACTGCTTTGGGAGTGTGTTTGGGCTACACAAAACAGATAATCTGGACCCATTCCTCATCTAACCTACACAACGTGTCAGCTGGTGCTTTCAGGACTCTCTAGTCACTAGAAGGTCTCTGTGCTGTGCTTGTGGTGTCTGTTGGACACTGCTGGTACCTTTAGGAAAACCTCTCTCTGGAACAGGCTCTGTCTGGACTAACAGAGTCTTGTCACTGAGTGTAGCTGAATCAGAGAATCATGTAAT